AATAGGCTGACACACATCCATTGGTGTACGCGCATTTCCTGTCCATTTCTATCTCTAGCCATATCAGCCTGCCACACCTACACAGAGCGGCGCCTGTGTGATATGCCCGTAATATATAGTCCAGGTTTTGGATAAAAGACATCCGTGCAATAATTGGTGGAGAAAAGGAGGACAATTTATATACCTGCCGCAAAAAGTTTCCAATGGCCGGAGATTGCTCACCGCTTTTTAGGATCTCTCACAAAGGAATTCATTTGTGCAAAACCAGTTTGGTTTATCGGACGATGGATAAACTAAGAGTTCTAATTGCTTGCACCATGATTTCTGACTGATGACCCTGTTTATAAGCTCTGGCTTGGACTGTGGGTCTGGACTTTGTAACCTGATTTTTGTAATTTTGGACTTGGACTTCTTGGCTTGGCTTAGTTTTAAACTTAAACTTTGCTTTGTGTACTTAACTTAGTTTTACTTTAGTTCGGACTTCCAGTCTCCTATCATACGCCGTTAATGGCTTTCCGACTGCGGCTGTCCGTAACGATAGCTTAAACAAGCTGTCAGACGGACTTAACTGCATTGACCCGACAATTAAAAATTAAGGTCTCTTAAAGTTTGGACGGTCAAAATCGGGCGTAGTCGAGTGAGATGCAGCAGTTCCATTATCTCTTCCGTTCCGACTTTCGGTAAGCTCTTCTTTAAGTCGTATCTCCCTTTTAGACGCAACTTAACGGCGTATTCTAATCGCAATGTATTTACATCTATATAACCATTTTCCTCACTCTTAAAGGAAATCTATAAACATATAGTAATTGTTATGCGATATTTTTTTGGTACTCATCGCAAGCTTGAATAACAAAGTTGTACAATTTTGACTTACTGTGCTGCAAGATACGTAAAATCTGTTTATTACACGTAATCTTATCGCATGGATTACATTACAAACTTTCATTTCCTAAGGTTTTCCTTTCTCCTTTTTTTAATTTTATAATTATTTCCGCCGCGTCGAAAAGCAAAACAAGTATAAATTATTTCAAGAAATGCAAATTTTAGTACTTGCACCTAACAAAGAACAGAGTGCTTTAGAGCACTTGACCTTTTTGCTCTGCCATTATATCGGCCGTTGATTGTTGTTCTTATTGTTGTCGTCATTACTTTCCATTTAATTATCACACCATGGCCAACGTGTAAAACGTGCTGTGCTCTTATTGCTCTTCTAGTTCGTTAAAAAACTGCATGTTGCACCCACTATGAATACTGTAGCATTTCTTAGCCACCCTACGTAGACCGTAGCGGTCGACTAATGCCGAAATTTGATAAAAGCGGTTATAGCCTTGCATTAACGAACATGTCTTCTTGATTATTGCGGTTATTCCAGTTTAGGTAGTCGTGTAAACTTTGGCATTTTAAATCTCTATAAATTAACTATTGTTTCAAATTATTTAATGCAGCAAGCTTTCCTGATAGTACCTGATAGCTGTTTCTCAATCTCTTACGTTGAGTAGAGCAAAGGTACCTTACTAGCCTTTTTACTACACTGCAATGTTTAAATTATTCCAAGTCGTATGGTAAACTTAGGTAAAGAGATCTGCCTTCATGTGCACTTTGTTGCTTGCAGCAAATGTATTGGATTACATGAAACTTTTCACAAAAGCTTCTTCTTCTTTTCTGCTTTATTATCTTCAGCGGTTTTCATTATATTACATTGCAGATTATTAAATGCATACAAATACCTGTATCTTAAACCGTTCACAATGCGTTCCGAAAATAAGGGGAATTTTTATTTTAAATCGCTATACCAAATTTACCGAAATATCTCATGTGTAGGTTGGACACATGACCATGTAGGTGGCAGACGGACAGACAAGCTGAAATCTGTATAATAAAAGATGGACCTATCTCAAATCATGCTGGCTGTAGCATATATCCTCAAAGCCTAATATGTACTGTTAGACAACTATCCCATAAGTGTTGTAGGGTAAAAAAAGCCTTTGTTGACATTCGAAGTGCATATATTTGCAAAGCAATACACACTCTTATTTTTTGAACAGAGTATTACACTCTTGATCAACGCGAATAGCTTAACTAATATTTCATTGGCTGTCTATCTGGCCATCCGTTAAAGTGCCCATTAGGGCCTCAATAGTTTGTGTATAATATTAATGGTACGGCGTATAACTGACATGGCTGTCTGTGTATGTGTTTGCTGTAGTTTTGTTGAAATTTGTTGTTTGCGTACCACAGTGAAATATCGTAAATATATCTGCACAATAAACAATAAATCATAATAAACTTTCTCTTCGTAGCTACTTAGCGCATTGTAAAATTCTACGTCAGAACATTTCCAATTCGTTTACACACCAAAAGCATTTTTCAACATCGTAGGGAGAGAAGTGTTTCCTCTTTGTGCTCAAAATTTTTAGAAATTAAAAAATCGATTAATCGCTGCATTGTGTTGAATCTATAGACGCCCTTGATTACAGCAAATCATAGGCCATCTTCAACAAATTAAATTGTCACAACACTGTCAAATCACTTAAACCACATCTCATGTTTCTTAAAGTTATATAAGAGATTTTTCATTAAGGGTTTTTTGAAATTCTAATTCCCATATTTATTGTGTGGCTTCACGTGTAAAAATATCCAGCACAATTTGAAGTTTCACCACGCATTGATTCACCTTTCCTAAACGTTTAAAAGTTATTAAAAAAGTCTACCGAAGTAGCAGATCACTCATGGCTGCAGAGCCTTGCGCCGCTATCACCGTTTCTCTATTCAGGCCGCCGCCATCAACTTGGCGAACAGATTTTTATCTTTGACGGCTCCATCAAAGCTTACATCTCTACCGAGAAACCACAAACTTTAGGACATTTGGAAGCAAATATTCGTCAGACTATTGCAGACGGAACCCAACTAATGCTGGGCAGAGTGATTACCTATTGGATGCATAGTGGGCACCAGTGTGCTAAAAGCCGACGTTTTACCGAGCGCCAAGGCTTCAAAAGAAAGCACAATTTACTTTGTCTTTTTTCAAATTTAAAAAGTATCATTCTGAACGAGTAACACTCTTAATGGAAGATCCTTTACATATAGAATAGAACCAGACAATAAGTCTTATACGATTACTTACATAATCAAGAATATGTTTCAATTGGTAAGAGACGTCCACTTGAGCGGCCGAGTAGATAAAATGTCTCGGCTGAAAACTATAACCATGTTTCAATAGAGCCGATGGCCTTAGACGCTGGTAACTTAACACTTCAGTCTTAGAATTTATCCCTCCACTATCTATAGCCTTCTTTATCTGCTCTTAGCTTCTAATTATAGCCTGCACAGCTTGCGCTGCATTACTGGAGTAAGAACCATTTAAAAGAAAGTATACCTTGCATGATGCGTGATACGAATGCATTCATTATGATCAGCGCTTTATCTCTTTTCCTTACATATTAGGAATTATATCATATCAGTGGGATGTCAGTATATTCCAACTTTTGTGCGATTTTATTACAATACGGATTGGCTGAAGTAGATTCTTAGATCTTAGGCTGCCCACTATTTGGAGCATAGGATAAAGTTATTCTTTGTAAAGTAAAGAATGATATCATCTTCCGATAGATAGCAAAAGAATTGTTGTATTTGATGTTATCTGGCATTCTTTCTTGGTAAAGAAGTAATATCTAACTCCTAACGAGTTCTTCGGGTTACCCACTTCTACTAGAAATGAATTTTAAAATTTTTTTCTTTGCGAATTATTTCTATTAAATTTTTATATGCTACACTATTTGTGGTACAAAGGTGTATTAAGTTTGTATAGACGTTGGGTGCAGTGTTTTACTTGTTTCTGGCAGAAAGGTCAATGGCGTCAGTCTTAAAGAAAGTATATCTTAAGAGCCAATGTTCTAAGACAAGCAGGCCGATGCACGTATGAAGTCAAAGAACGTTAATCAAAAATATATATATGTATATATGTACCTCAAACATTATCTGGCATGTGATCCTAGGTGTAAGAGAATGTTACGTCAAATAATTATATGTGAGTTTTGATTATATTTGCGTGAGTCATTTAGCGGGTGCTAGAAAATATTTGTACCAATTTTTGAATGAGCATGTCTTCTAGAAGGTACGTTGCAGTTTTTTGAAACTTCAATCACAGGAGGCTTTGTAGCAAGAGACACGGACAAACGAATGAACTTAGACGGATGGAGTTAACTGAACTCGGCTGATTAACAATCGCATTTATCTTGTGGAAAACACGTATATGCTTGAAAGCGGATAAATAAATCTAACCGACGTCAAACAAAGTTTTATACATATTTTCAATGTATGAATACACCTGCTTTTTCACTTTGAGCTACAAGATGGCGAATTCATGAAACTGAATTGGCAATATCGGCTACAATAATAAAGATAACATGATACATTTTTCGCGTGTGGATCGCTTACGTTCCATAAGTGATGCGGGCTGTAGATCAGGAAACTATTTCTTGTTACCTCAGCTCCAGATTAATATTATCTTAGAAGAGGAAAACCGGGCAGATGGACTCCCAAAAAATTTGCATAGAATTATGGCTTGCTGTTACGCGGGGGGTAGGCAAGATTTCGTTCAGACTTGAATATCAGATCCATAAGTACTTTTGTTGTACGCAGTACATCTTGATTTTAGATTTATATTCATTATGCTTAATACGCCGCTGTCTACGAACGTATGCACGTATAGCATAGCATATACTTACATACATTTTATGAATAAAATGTTTTGAATTTGTCCAAGCAAAGGATATCTAACGTTTTTCGCTAGCCAATATAATCGTCTTACTTGCTTTACATCTGATATCTGAATCAAAAGGAGATTGGCATGCGAAAATAATTATGAGAATATGCGCATATTGTGTTCGTATAGACACATATAAGCATAATTATAACGAGCACACCTGTACTTTTTCCCTTTTTCAACCTTCCCTTACAACTCCTTCTAAGGGCCTTAACTAAATTGTGTGAGTACTTACCAGCCAGGCAGGCATTTACTACCAGTATTATGATGAATACAAGCATAGTGACTGTTAATATCCTGTTGTGTATTACACTTTTATTCCGACTCGGGTTCGGGTGCTTGTTGATATGATTGCTGTTGCTGTTGCTGTTGCTTTTTCTGTTGTTACTGGGTGTCTCCTTAATACCGTAGATTATTAGCAATTTATTCATTATACATATTTGCTTCGCATTCATAGATTGATTGATTTTCTTTGTTAGAGATTTGTTTGGCTGCTATGGTTGATTGTTAAGTAATTTAACTCTTGATCGAATGATTGATGAGCTCATCATGCATTATATGTTGAAATGTCTTTTTTAATTTATTTATTTATATATATTTTTTTTCCGTTTTCAAGTGTGCGTTAATGTTGTTAAGAGACGAACTTAAAATTATGAGAGAAAATTCAGTCTTCTGTGTTTTCTTTTGCATGAAATTGTTCCCACAAATTTCTTGGTTGTTCCTGTTCCTGTTGCTGCTATTGCCGGAGGAGGATTGTAATGTAAATAAACCTTGTGTTATAAGAAATCCTCAAGAATTGTTTATTGTTACTTAATACCCTTTTGTATGAAATTTCTTAAAGAGTTTCAACTGTTGCTGTTTTTGTTGTTGTTATTATTACGATTATCACACATATTAAGTTTTCTTAGTTTTCAAAGCTTTGGTTCATTTATTTATTTAACTGACTTGCTTACCATTTCCATGCCGCAAAGAACAAACAAAATCTTATGATTGTTGTTGCTTTTGTTTGTTGTTGCTTTTGTTTGTTGTTGCTTTCATGTTTGCTTTTATTTCACTGCTGCTTTTCTTATTGGTGTTGTTGTAATTGTTTTTGTTCTTTAAAGTTTCAGGAACTTTGAAGCAAACATGTTTCTAATTGACTGCATGCAAAAGCGTTGTTTCGGTTCAGTTCAGTAACTAAATCTATGGTTTTTCTGGTTGCTAGGCATTGAATTGTTCAATGAGTCCTTGAGCTGTTGCTGTATGAACTTTTCCATGTACACTGGTTATTATATAATATTTTGTGGATTAAATTTTCTCCTTTCAGAGAGCTTACATACATAAATACAAATTCTTTGCATAAGCTTCTCTTGTTTTCCTTTCTTGGTTTGGCTTTGCAAGCAACGCAAGTGGATTAAATCATTTTTTATTTATTCATTCATTTTTTGCTTAACTATTTAAATACACTTTAAGTCGTTGTTGTTGTTGTTGTTGCTATAGTTGATTATTCTGATTTTATTCTGGTTAGATATATATATGTTATATATTTTATATATATATATATACATATATAAATAACAATCAAGCATTTCAACAGAGTGCTAAAGTATTTAAAAACTAAATGTATATATATATATATATATATATATATATATAAAAATTTGTATATGTGTATGTATATATGCAGGTATATGCATATCTATTGCATTTTTGGAAGCCCCTTGAACGCTATGTTGAAATGCATGACTCTTGACCGCCGTGCTGTCTTTATTTCTCGTTGTTTTCCTGTTAAGTAAAACTTTCATTATTAAATTTGTTAACACTGGAATTTAATCCTGAACACACACGCTCACACACACAACACAACACGCACATAAGCCGCCCACACCTATACACCATAAGCGTAAATATACGAAAACTAAAGAGCAGATTGTTAAGTCACGATGTTCGAGATGAAATTGAATTTTTCTTTACATTTATTTCTTAAAAACGTGTTTTCGTGGGGTTTATTATTTATTTTGTTTGTGGCGTAATGTGTTTGTGTTTGTATTTGGTTTTCCCTTTTTTTTTTTATGAGCAAGTACAATATTTACATTTCCCGTCAATTTCGCAGAGGCATAATAAACGTATTTTCCGTTAACCTAATAAAAGCCAGAAATACTTGAGATTGCTTTAATTTTCTATATATGTTGTTGCTACCGTTCTCTTTCATTTTGTTTGTTTGTTTGCGATTGTAAATTAAAATTTGTTTATATTTTTCAGTTTCCGTCGATTCAAAATTTAATCCACCATCGTCAAGCTGTTCAACTCGTAAACAATTTTAATTAAATCTATTTATCTTATTCTTCTCATACCCATCGCCGAAGCATGAGGGTTTGCTCGTTTTGTCCTAACGTCTGCAACACCCAAAAAGAATCTTCAAATACCCCATAAGATATATATATACATATATATACATATATATATATATATATATATATATATAAACATACGTATATTCGCGATCAGATGAAACCATCGACTTCAAGTTTGGCCGGAACATTGGAAGTTTCTACGTGCAGGTTGGTATTAAAAATGGACGAAATTGGTCAGAGTATATGTCCTCAGTGGAGCGTAAAGTGAACACAATTCCGTTTCCCTGAGCAAAAATTTGTGCTGCTTTTGCTCATTACTTACAAATTAGAAAAGACGTAGGTAGATCTGAAATTTCCACAATTACTTTGCGGGCTCTACTAGCTACATGCAAAGCTGGGGAAAATTGGCCACGCCCCCGCAAAATTATAAATGATTAAATTTTCTTTTTTTTACTATTTTGAGGCTTTATTCTTGTTAATCATAAAGTAAACAAGACAGAATATTTCCGTATATTCCTGAAATGAAGATATATTATTATCTGCCTACATATGCGTCAATTCTAAAATAAGTACAATGGACACCGTGACGTGGTAGATTAATTTTTCTTAACAATAAAAATACACCATATCGCAGCCAGCTTTTCATGACCATAAATAAAAGCATGGGGCGCTGACGATTTAAATGGTGACGGGCATAAGAGACTCGATCCCAGATGGGTATAACTTGCTTACTCATTTCCTTTAATTTCTTTTTTTTCATTTCTTATATGTTTTCACTAATTTTTTATATGCAGAAAGTAGGAGACAGCACGTGTTCCAATAAGAAGCTAGATTTTGTGCATGCATTGGCTATAAGTGTCTTGGCTGGATTGAAATATATTTTGCTTGTGTCTGAAAAAAAAAATATTTGTCTCGGAGAGAATTAAAATGGCCATGATGGTTATCTTGGTTGGAAATATTATACGCTGGTTGAAAAGAAACTGGGCTAATTGAAGAGATATTAAAAGATCACTTAGGAATCTTTGTATGTACTGCGCCAGAGCAACTTAATACTGTCACTTCTAGTGGGGAATACCAAGGCTACCAATTGAATACCTGGACTCTTTAAAGAAATTGTCTTGTACACAACTACGTTCCCTTGTTGTAAACAAGTGTGTTCGAAGCATTGATTTAATATGTCAGCAGATAATTGATAATTATCAAGTAATCGTATATTCACTACAACGCCTTACTCAGCTTTCAACATAGTACCGGTAGCCAGGGAGATAGGAAAAACGATTGTCGAGTTAGTGCTAGTGGGTTGAAATCTGCAGCGGTACAGCAGAAAGTAGATCCTCTATAACTTAGCAGATTCTTTCCGTCTTGTATAATAGACGACGAGTTCACTAGCAGCTAAATTGTCTCGTAAACAATGTGTCTTGATAAATGTTTATGCATTTCTCTCACTCCTCCCTCTCTCTCTTCCTCTCTGTGTTGGGATAAGATATCTATTATTCCACGACCGTAAGCACTGTTATAATGGAGTATCTTCAGCTGTGTGCTGTATAAGTAAATTTATTTATTTGGGCTTTGAGCGATTTAAGTGTTCGTATAACCTAAGAGACTTCTACAACAATGGTTTACGTAACAAGGTACGAGTCTACCATTTTATAAAGACTCTGTTGTGTAAATTCGTAATCATCACCGTTTCGTAAACATTGGGAACATGTCCTGGTCGATTGCTAGTGTAGAAGAATAAGAAAAACTTGGGATGATGTTGAAAGACGAGCAAAAGAAGCCTTCACGCTGTTTCCTTCCTAGCATATTGAAGCATTTTGCTCCAATAAACACTTTCTAAGATATTAGATCAAAGCCACTGATTTCTCTCACATTTTCAAAAACTCTTTCCGGCTTACTCGGGTCCGCCGACTTCTTATAACAATATATTCCCAATACTTTTTTGATAGTTGAAATTTTTGCTTTTCATTAATTGAACTTAACGAAAATTTCATTTTCTGTACTCTATTTTTCTGCTTTCTATATTTATTACAATTCTATTTTTATTGCAATCATTACCGGAGGTGTTTTATTCTTGCCATCGCTGAATATTATATCATAACATCAATCAACGTTCATTGTATTTATTTAGTTGTATTTATTATTACATCATTCGATAAAATATTGATAATAAATTTCTATTGCTAATCAACAGAGTAGAATTCTAAATGTGGGCGTGTCAATCGATTGCAATCATTTTTAAAACGGCCTTTTGGTCGAACTTAACATATATTTACACCAAGTTAATGCCATTAGTTCTTTTGGGCTAGGAAGTTACCGCCTTTTTATAGGCGGATCAGATTTTTTTAGCGATCTTTTGTGATGTCCTCCAAAATTTGTACAAAGAGCGATAGAACATTATCCACATAGCAGGATTGAAAATAAGTTTTTGCGCGACCAAGTTTAGATTAATCTTTTGCCCTCTGTCTTCTAAGCCCCGTTGAGGAATGTTATAAATATCGAAGTTAAAACGCTTGTCTTTAATAATACCGTGTAAGTGTCGGTACTTTCTTTTATTGAAGTAAGGAATTCCTTATTCTTAGATGTTCGTATGTTGAAGACTAATCTGTGAACCGATTCAACTTATTTTTCCTCTTACCGTGGCATCAATAAAAAAAAAATACATAAAGTTAAATCTGTTATCCTAGTTAGAGTGTTCAGACTGTAACTATCAATTCGCAATCCAAGCGTACAAACGTATCAAACTCGACTAAGTGGATTATGTTAATCACGCTAATCAAGAATTCACATAGTTTTTGCTCGAATGATAAAAACATACGACACAATTAATAAAATCGTTTAGGGAGTTGAGTAGAAAAGATACAGCTTGTATCCTATTAATTATCAGTAAGCTGCAATGCATATTACGTTCAACGCTTTGCAAATTCTTCTTACAAATTTTTTCAGTAGATCGAACTAGAATTAATAGGTGGCCCAAATACTTCGACCAAAACCAATCAGGAAAGGCAATGTATAGGTAATCTCATAAAATAGCTCAGGCTATAATTAGCGAGACGACTAGTGCGACGCGAAAGCTTTGCCCCTAGGAAACCAATTTTAAACTAAACTTTCCACTCCTAGTAACCCCACCATGAGCCCGCCTGCTGTTTCTTCTTGTTAAGTTCAAGTTGCAAATTCCTATTGAATAGAAAACTTTTGAAGTTTTGGCCTAAGGTTGTCTCTATCCCCCCGGTACCAAGTCCGTAAAATAGCCAAATCGACGTGATGATAAGCCCATATTTACCAAATTTAGTTATGATACGTTATGATGTATAATGTTGGATGAATGTTAGCTCTATCTTCCAAACATATTTTTGACCATCCAATGTTCGGTTTACAATTATCGCGCAATTATTTAAATAGAACATTGTAAGTGTATCAACGGCATTTTCGATCTAAGAAAAATAAAAAAATTGGCTCCAAGACGACTAAATCATTCCCTTCGACTGGGAAAAACATATTCGAGTGGTCGTTCTATTTGTGGCCCTTACAGTTAACTATCAAAGATACCAAAATTCCATTGTAAGTGGATGGCGCTAAAGGGGGTAAATGTTCAGAAATTGTGGCCTACTTATCTATAGCAAATATTGAAAATATTTTATATCTCCAATCCAAATCCTTATATCTCCGAAGTGCTTTGCATGTTATATTTAAGGTAATGAATAAATT